TGCTGATGCACAGTTGTCGTCCCAGTGTTTACGCTTTGTTTTTTTTTGCATATCGTGTTGTTGCTGCATTGATTCTGTTTAGATCGGTTTTGTTTGCGCTGGAATACTTCCTCTGTAGTTTTAGTTGGGCCTGTCTTCTTGCTGCACAAAGATTGAGCAACGTGAGATCAGGCTCTGGGTAGTGCTCTGGGAGCTTTATCTTGATGGTGGCTTGATTTGCGCTGGTCAAGACTGCTTGTAATATGGGTTCTGATGATTTTTCCATATGTGCTCGAAATGAATCCCAGTGAGTAACATATCGAATACGCTGTTTAGTTCCACGGAATCCATGCAGATCTAAAAATATCGGGTAATGGTCGCTGTTCATGGTATCAGGGTTTCTCGTCCAATTTACGCATAGGTCTGTGGAATGAGCAGTGATGTCGATGGCGCTATAGGTATCAGGAGGACGAAAAAAGGTCGGACTGCCGTCGTTTGCAACAGCGAGGTCGCACTCTTCAAAGCACTTTGCCAACGCCCGGCCACGAGTATCGTCTCTGCTAGCTCCCCAAAGGCTGTGGTGTGCGTTCCAATCTCCGCAAAGTAAGATTGGGTCCTCACAGCGCTGGCAAATTTCTTTTACGACTTCAGAAATCTTGATTCCACTCTTTCCAGCACGGACATATATGGATGCCACACACAAACTCCGTCCGGTCAACATGACACGTGCTGCTACCAGTTCAATATCTTGGGTGCACAAATCGCTCGTATCAATCTGGTGTTGTGGAAGAGCTTTTCGAATATAAAGGGCTGCACTCCCGTCAGGAAAACCGCTCATGGTTGGATTTTTGTAGCAATAATACCCAGAAATGCTGCGGTCATTGAGGAGACCCGCCTCACTTAATGCAAGTATCGGAATAGGGAAGTGTTCTAAGTACAATGAAAGCTCCGCATGACGATTTTTCAGCCCGGCACAGTTCCACTGCATGAGAATCGGTATATTTCGTTGTTTTATTGCTTTTCGTTGCGGCTGACACTTCGAAGTGTCAATCATGGCTCTGGTCGAAGTTTCGTGTCATTTCTGTAATGGCCGGTTGGAAAAACATGATTGCTTGTAATATGGTCTTGAAATTACCTGACGGTAGGTTGGCAATGAGATTTGGTAAAACAGAAAATATTAGACGAACTAAATCCCCAATTTTAGAATTCTGAGAAGGTATTTTTCCAGTGACGATGTCGCTGTATGATCTCTTTCCTCTGGTATTAGTCTTTGACGTGGCGGTAGTGTCGGCGTCAGCACCTTTTGAGTAATGTGCTTCCACTTCTTGTTCTTTCTCGGAAGAGGTCTGCTTTTCCCCCTCTTTTGTCCCAGCAGCTTTCGCTTTCTTCTTTTTTCATTGTCATTCGGAGCCTTAACCCTTGGATTCCTCTCCGCGGTGATTATGTCATCTTGGCTTGTGGCCTTGAAGCGTGGTGTATCACGTTCCACCTCTGTGCAATCCGCATTTTTGAAAAATTTGGGGCCTCTGATAAAACTCTTCTTCTTCGCTAGAGCTTGAAGTCGAGTTTTGCAGTTGACATAATCGGCTGGATGGTCTCCGCCGCAGTTCGCGCATTTGACAGGTGATTCGCCATTGCAGTCCTTGGTGGCATGTGCTCCTCCACATCTCTTGCAGATCGCGGTGGCACTGCAGTAATTTGCCACATGGCCCAAAGATTGGCAGTTGAAGCATCTTGGGGGCGCTTCGACATAGTCAGTCACTTCATGTCGTGTGAAGCCGAGATTAACCTTGGCAGGGCGTTCTGTGTTAGGGCGAAAAGTGATCACCACTTTATCTGTTGGCCGCACTGTTTCGTCTGGTTTGCCTTTGCGTTGGTATAGGCGCCGTGCTGCAATGACTCCTACTGGTTCGAGGAATTCAGTCATCTCTGAGTTTGAGTACCAGTCAGGCACGCCTTTGATCAGCCCATTGTTTTGCATATACGCTTTCGGGATGGTAGCCAGAACTAGGATCTCTCCCAGGCAACGCACCTTCAGGAGCCTGTTGACCGTCGCCGGCTCTGCTACGTCAACGAGTAGACCTCCCCTGGCTGTAAATCGATGGCGTACGAAGGGTGCGCCTGCTGCTGCCCTGACTTCGTCATTTAGGTTGAGCGGGTTTAGCTGCTGTAACCTTCTCCCTTCTTGCATCGGAGTAAACAGCACAGGTATGCCTGTTGTCCTCTTACGGCGATGTTCGACTAGGATGAATCCTTCGTCGTCTCCCTCCGCTTGGGATGCGTCCATTGAATCGCAGTTGCTGAGGAGCAGTTTGGCTGGTGTGGACTCTTGTGATGTGGAGTCGTCAGTTGTGTCAAATCGTCGCTTAACAGGGACGTGGGGTCGCTGACTTGGTGGGATAATATGGTAAGCGTGGTCTTTCTCAGCGGTCTCTTCAGTTAGAACCACTGGTTCGATGGCGTCCATTTGGTCAGCCTCCGCGGAGGCCATAGCTGGACTTGTAGGCACCCAGGTTGCCCCGGTACCTGATTTTCTCCAAGAAGAAGAGTCTAGATTTGAGACCGTGACCCCAGAAGTGGTGAAAACCGTCGGTGCGGCGTGAAAAACGTTCCAAAACCAGGAGCGGTTTGTAAAACACAAACGGGGTGGGTGACACTTCTTTTTCCACCGTAGCGTGATATAATGTGTCCATTATTCGATATGATTGAAATCAATAAACAATGAAGACGAAGAGGAAAAGAATAGACCCGAGTTCACTTCATGCATAGAGTCACTAAATGAGCTTTAAAGTATCGGCACTCCGTTCCCCAAAATTGTTTTGGGCGCCGCCATTTTGGGTCTTCCTCAGGGCAAACGCAACTGCCGATCATCATGATCCAAAAGTACGACTTCCTCAGTATTAGATGCGGTGCTAGGAAGCTGATGCAATATTGCAATGCTCTATCGCGGGTTGTTTAAACATTTGTGAGGGCCGGAAAAGCGCGTTTCCTGTGATTTTAGATAAAGCTTCATATAACTGGCAACCGGGTCCATATCACAAGAGCGAATGACATTTTAGCGAACGGCGACATTTGAGCGAATGGTCGTTTTAGCGAATAACGGGGGCGCGCGTTAACCCATCCGTCGCGCTGCGCTTTACGCCGCTTCGCGGCGACAGACTGCGGCAACTCATTACAAAAATATGAACTCACTTGGCCCACCCGAAAACGCCGCTTCGCGGCGTCCGACTATTCGCTAAAGTGTCGTTTGATGAAACGTGGGCGTTCGCTAAAAACGTCATTCGATCAAGTGAGTGCCTCCCCTGGCAACCATGATTTCAAGCCACAATAGGGAGTTTTAGAATAGCGCACGCTAAAGCTTTGCGTACGCAAAGAATAGCGTCGTCGCCACTGGGCATGCTCCGAACGCAAACCAGGTTTTGCGCTTTGCGTACGCAATTTTAGCGCGCGCTATTTCTCGGAAATAGCGTGCGTACGCAAAGAGTCATTGCGCTTCTCCAAGGAGGATTCGTGATGAGAAGTTGGCTCAAGCCAAGACGAGCACAGTTAAGAAAAAATGGCGGCTTTCAGGATTATGTCGGCGGCTGCTTTGGCGGCGTCGTGAGTGCGACGTCGGCGGCATCCTCGCGACTGCAATTTTCAATACGGGACGACATTGTACTCGGTTTGGGAGCGATCACCGGCAACTTGGTTCTTGCGACGCGCGAACATTTCACGGCGAAGGAACGATGTGCGAAGGTCAGTACACGAGACCTCTCTTGCCGAGGCGACGCAAACGGACACGCGTCGTGTTCTCATGTCTAACCGCTCGCGTCGTGTTCTCATGTTTAAACAAATTAAAATGCTACTCTGGACCAAAAAACTCGTTATCTTTTAAAGTTACATCATTTCGTGTGTGAAATAAAAATTTGACTGTATCTTGGTGGCGTCGCAAGCGCGAGATGCTTGGGCTTTTGCGTCGCGGCGGAGAAACGCTATTCTAAAACTCCCCTACGTCGCGTGCGCTAATACAAGCGCTAAATTTAGCGCTAGCGTGCGCTAAAATTGCGTACCTTATTCTAAAACTCCCTAATATGGCCAAGTGTCGTTACTCTGAACCGCGTAGCTAATTTACTGGCACAAGCGGAAACAATGAAGAAGAGGCACGTGTCAAAAGGTAGTGGCTTGTGGAATCAACGGGGCTTACGTCATGGCCCCTTCAGGTATTACTAGTGTGCCTTCATGTGCGCTTTGCTTAGGGTGGAGACATCTGGCCATTTTGTCCCACGCTTTTATTTTTATTTTTTGTTCAGAAGCGCGTGCAAGAGCGTGTCCCTGCACGCGTTTGTGGCGCTGACTGTGCTATGGCGACATTTTGTTTTCGTCGATTTCTTTGTATTTTACCCGTGAGCGCGTGCTGTCGGCATCGGGTACTACAAAGGGTGGCATCACCCTAAACAGAAGGACATTGAGGCACCCTAGGTATTACTAGGGTGCCTTCATGCGCGCTTTGCTTAGGGTGGAGCACGACATCTGGCCATTTTGTCCCACACTTCTATTTTTATTTTTTTGTTCAGAAGCGCGTGAAAGAGCGTGTCCCTGCACGCGCTCGTGGCGCTGATTGTGCTATGGCGACATTTTGTTTTCGTCGATTTCTTTGTATTTTCCCCGTGAGCGCGTGCTGTCGGCATCGGGTACTACAAAGGGTGGCATCACCCTAGGGTGCCTCAATGTCCTTCTGTTTAGGGTGATGCCACCCTTTGTAGTACCCGATGCCGACAGCACGCGCTCACGGGGAAAATACAAAGAAATGAACGAAAACGAAATGTCGCCGTAATACAGTCAACGCCACAAACGCGTGCAGTGTCACGCTCTTTCACGCGCTTCTGAACAAAAAATAAAAATAAACGTGTGGGACAAAATGGCGAGATGCCACCACCCTAAGCAAAGCGCACATGAAGGCACCCTACATCACCCTAAACAGAAGGACATAGGAACCGTGCGGATGTAACTCAAGCCCCGACCAGGGCGCCCCTAGCGGCAAACAGATTCGCTTTCTCCGGGCAGCTTCTCCATTCCGGCGCGTTGGGGTTGTGTTGAAAACGTTATTGCGGTCTAGAAATCGCAACTTGCGAGATGCCGGTTCCCACCCTGAAGAGTAGAAATAATTGCTGTGTGGTTGGATGCAACAGCACCTACAAAAATTCGCCCGATACGAAGTTCTACGGGTTTCCCGCGAAGTCCTACGAGACAGAACGCCGCGCGGTTTGGACGCGACTGGTCCGTCGATGCAAGTGAGTCGCGTTTCTCATTACACTTTTCAGTTAACGTCGCGCTTTATAGTGTGTGAAACTATTTCGTCTAATGTCCTTTTTCTAGCGCCGATGGAACGACTTGGACCCCTACCCCGAATTCCAAAATTTGTAGCAAGCATTTTTTGGGGAATGAAAAGCGAAATGAGGAAGCCCACCCGAGCTACAACCCTTCGATCTTTCCATCGCCGTACAAGAAGAGAGTGGTACTCGGGGTTGCTGAACGACACGACAGGTGACTTTCCCATTTTCTGTGGTTCTGTAGTTTTTATTTATTGTTAATCTGTCAGTCAGGAATTTATTTAAAGCTCGCTGTCGCAAGGTTTCGTCGCGCGTGCACCACGGGTGCGTGTGAAGCTACCCGAACCCCGGGCGGCTCATTGCGGAAAAACGGAGCGTTCAAGTGGCCGTTTGTCGGCACTCCACTTGCGCTTTCAAGTGTAGTCCGAAAGTGTTCTGCTCGATTCATGCTTATTGCATATCTTTCGTCAGCCACTCGCCCACGATTTGTTTTAACAGAAAGCGCGAGCGAGACAAGCACTACTGAATGAGCAGCATGCTTTCTTATAATGTCTGCGAAATACAGGTGCGCGATCTTCTCAAGTTTGCGGACGTGGCACTCGCTCGAATGTTGCGGTTGTGATTTAAATCTCACGTCCTCCGGTTGCAGCAACAGCCTCTACAAAATACAAGAAAATACAAGTTTTCTAAGGCACACATATATTGAACCTAAATATGTACTAGCTAAGCACGCTTACCATTACGCTGTTAAAACGAGTCAGAGATGCCAGTTTTTGGTTTTCAGATATTCTTTGCTATAAAGATAAAGTTTTACGGAGTCCAAGTGTACACATAATTAGCCAAGTTAAATAAAAAGAAGTACAGCGAAAGTAGGCATGCTAATAAGGCCACAAAGTGCCAAAAGCAAGCCATTTTTCACTAAAGTATGGCATTTGCACGCTAAGACGGCACTAGAACGCGGGCATAAACCACCTTCGGACGGCACTCTAGACACTGTGTAGAGAAAGAGCTAATGCGAGCTGTCGACGAAACGATCTGTCGGTAAAAAGATTTGTCTATGATACATTGCACATCGACAAAACATTCGACAAACTGATTGCCACTGATTAACAGAATAGTATGGCTACTGACAAATTTTCTCTCTTCAGGCAACTGAAAAGGGTCGAACAACAAAGGCGTGTAACACCGTGTACAGCTGCACCTGAAGTTGATTTACCCATGGAGCGGCAACCAGCAGAGGAGCCAGCACCTGCTCCATTAACAGCCAGTGTAAGCAGAACTTTAAAACAACTGAATAGACATATGAATACCATTTCTCACACTCTCTATGTTCAGAGGTGGCTGTGTATATGTGGACAGAAGAGTGGCCCTGTTTGGCGACTTGCCATAAGGATATTTTGGAAACACTCCTGGCAAGTACAAGACTGCCAAATGAAGTTCCCGTGTTTCTTTTTAACCCTCGGGCATCGTATTCGTAGCTGTCTCTATGAAATGAATTCGAAACTTGCAAGTAAATAGGGACAATAACCTCTTGGAAATTTATAAGGCTAGAAATATTGTGAAATAGGCACTGGAGGACACTAACGAACACTTCAACAAACTCCATTTCTTCACATATTGTTCTGCCTGGGCTCCTTGTTGTTCCACGTCCGTTCTTGTTTGTCTCATATAAATATGTAACCAGACATACTATTGTTGGTTGGCAGGTGAAACCTCCAAAGTTGCCTTTTCTCAGAATGTATGTTCACATAGAAGCCAATAAATCCTGAACTCGGATGTGAATCTGAATGTGTGCACCCTAGAAATAATACGGACTTTTGGATTTTACGGCTCAGTGTAATAGTGTTGCATTCCTTCCTATCTTTGCAGGCTTCCACCATGACAGAAGATGATGGAGCAAGCTTCTCGCCATGCACCCTGTTTCTTTGCTGTAACATGGGGGGAGATGTCTCAACCCTTGTCTGCCATAAGACAGTAGTGGACGAAGGGTGTGGGCCAGACACGGTGTCAGTTTGCGATAGGGGAGCTGGGCCAGTGTACAAAGAGCCCTTCTTCACTGGGTACAAGTCTGTGTGTGACGACGAGGCAATGTTAACAAGGTTAAGTTCCGCATCATTTTCTTTATTTGCTCTGTTGTTGAGCTTATTTCCAGATACCTCGAGGAGGCAAAATGAACTGTCAAGCGAGAATCGGCTCTTACTATTTTTGATTAAGTTAAAACATAATGTACCTTTTTCGTGCCTAGGCATTTTGTTCAGTATCCATCGTACGACGGCAGCACGAATATTCAGGGTTACACTTGAAATCCTCTGCGCCAGAACAAGAGACTGGATTTGGTGGCCGAGAAGAGGTGCTGTCCAGGCCACCATGCCACCAAGCTTCAAAGTTCATTATCCTCTTTGCAGGGTAATAATAGACTGCACGGAGATGAGGGTGGAGATGCCTCCGTCAGTCGAGAAGCAAAACCTTTGGTATTCGCAGTACAAAGGGTGCTATACTGTTAAGTACTTAATTGGAGTCGCACCTAGTGGTCTTGTGACGTTCCTTTCAGATGGATTTGGTGGGCGGACAACTGATACTGCTATCACAATTGAGTCTGGTTTTTTGCACAAACTGCAGCCCGATGATGTCGTCCTGGCCGACAAAGGGTTTCCAGGCATAATAACTGGCGTTGGTGCTAAGAAAGCAACACTGGTAATGCCACCATTTGCATCAGGAGTGCAGTTCACAGAGGTTGAGGTAGACTCAACATACGAGACAGCTTCTGTCAGGATTCATGTCGAGAGGGTAATTCAAAGAGTGAAAATTTATACAATAACCCAGCGTGTTTCGCATCATTTAATTCCACACCTGGACAACATTATGCATATCTTGTGTGTACTCACCAATCTGAGGCCGGGTATATTTAGGCCTCGGTAAAGTGCAGATCGTTCGTAGCTTTTGGAGGTAGTCTAGCAGTGTGTAGTGTCCATTCGCAGGCTAGCCTCGAGGTTCCGGCTGGAGAAGTGCTACTAGATGCTTTGAGCTGCTTGCCAGTTTAGGGAAGGAATTGAAGGGCAATTCCGTTTTATCTTTGGTGCAACTTGTGGGTTTCAGTGCGCTCAGGGTGGCACAACCAAGAACTAGCATGTGTCCCACGTAGCATGCATGCCCTGTAGAATGACTGCTATGTCGCACATGCTTTTCAATCGTTTTACCGCAAAGCATCGAATAGAAACTCGGAGGCAGTACATCTACACAACTGTGCACAGTATTGAGAAGAACAATAATTTACTTTGGGATTCAGTGACGTTGAGTGTACTGAGAACAGTCAAACTCAAATTAACTAGAACAGATTTGCCCTTTGATATACCCAGTGAGTTCATTCCATTTCAGTTTGACTGTGAAATTGCCTTCATCCCCTCGGAATGATAAGCAACTGTTCAAAACATGCATGGCACCCCCACCCCTTTGTCCCCTTACCTGAAATGCCTTGCTGCAATGCATATACTCTGGATTTTCATTCTGTGTTTGTGCAACTGTTCATGCACTGAAAAAAAAGAGATTCTTGTTTTTCCTTATAGTCGGGATTTATTGAAGTTGCTCAATTGTTATGTGCCTGGTTTCAAGCAGAAAGACATTCTTTCTTAGCTCATCTTGAATGGAGCGCAACGAGTTCTCCTAAGTAGTACTTGAAATAAAATGACCGTAGCTTCGGAATTGCTTCAGAAAGGAATTCCTCGTCACGCTTGATGTTGAGCGTCTTGTGGTCTACAGAGCAGTACAAATATAGATCGCACTCTTCAAGCTGCAAAACATACAAGCAGATTTGTATTTGCGTGTAGTATGTGTGTGACTTTCGCAAAGAAATCTCCTTGCTGCACTTGTCCTCTACTAGGTATGACAGAAGTGGCTTTTCCGTTAACTTCTTCTTCCATCGGCTGGAGGGGCACTTGATCTCAAGCGGGGTGGTTTTGCCGTCCTCGCTCCTGAGTATAGAGAAATAATGATTAGCTGGCAGGGTTTGATATGCATCTCAACACGACTTGAACAAAATATAACCGCTGAAGGTATGTCCGTCTTGCATGTGTATGTGAAAGACGTGCATTAACGCTTTGAGAAAATGTATGATGCTGAACTGAAGCCTTGTGGCAAAAAAATATGATAATGCACGCCACAAGGAGCCATATACCGGCAAAGGTAGTGCATATACCTGCACGCATGTACTAATAATTTATTCAAATGAAGCAAAAGGGCCGGACTGTTTCAACACGGCAAGAAAAGCTTGTAGAAAACGTTAAAAAAAAACCGTTTGGAAGCGAGAAAAGTTAGTATAAAATGTCAAAAGAAAGCATTTGGGAGCTCTGAGATGGTAGTCATTAATTTATTAAAAGTGCACTAAAATGGTTTTCCAGACCGCATTTCGATGGTGATAACTCGATCTTTGTGCTCCAAGCATCCTAGAAATTAAAGAATTGCAATCAAACACCGTTCCTTTTTGCAAAATTTTCCATAAAGAAAAAGTGTATATAAGAAAGGCCGGCCGGCAGGGAGTGCGCGAGAGCTAATCGCAAGCTGTGGGCTACCGAGTGACCTTGCGCTCTTCCGTTAATTTGAGCTCAAAGTTTGGTTTTTAATAATGCTTGGAGTGCGCAAGTTGAGTTAGCACCATAAATAGACGTCCCTAGAAACTTTTAAGATTCATAACTTCTTTAGGCTCATGACCAGCTAACTCTGCTGAAATGTTGGCTGTCATTTCGAGGCATTAGTGGAGGTTTGAGCTATATTACCGAAAGATTCCATCAGGAGAACATCCCAACCAAGGGTCTTCTGGTGCCACCACAAGCCCGAACTGGTGAACTTTGAGGCCACGGTCCTCTTCAAACTTGCTTCGGGCTTTCGGCTCGTTGCGCTGCCCATGAGCCGTTGCTGGCGACCAGAATGGAGCTTCAGACACCATGGTCCTGGCGACATCTCGAAGGTCTCTTTCACAGCGTATCACTTTGTGGCCCTGAAAAATAAAAGACTTGGAACATTTACACTGAAACAAACAGTTGACACCAGAGCTTAAAGGGGCACTGCAATCATGTTTAAGCGTCTACTTTTTTTGCGGTTTCCACATCTTTGGGGGTTCGGGAAAGTCAGCGGGCACGGAGAGAGTAACTAAATATCGGTGCGTCATATTTTAACCAGACGACGCGGAAACCTCGTCCCACCTACGGGGGCAACCTGCGGTGCCGAAAGCACATGATATGTGAAGTCTTTGGTCTTGGCCTTGCTACTGGTCAGAGCCGCTAAAAGCTTCTTTTTAGTCGAAATACAAAATAAAAGTGGCACGAACCGTTTCAGTTATTTATAAAAGTTTTTGTTCAGTATTTTAGATCGGAAAAGAAACAAATGCAGTTTATAAAGTGCGGAAACAAGAAATGAACCGTCGACATACCCACCACCAAGCGGCGGAAAAGGCGGCGCATACTAGAAAGGGGTAACGCTAGGATCAGGCGCCAACGAGCGGCGAGCGTAGAAATATCCCGGATGTACGCGGCGGCACTGCGGTCGTATATGGGCTTGAGGAGTTGACTGGTTTTGAGCGTTACGAAGGCCTTCGGCGAGCAGGTATGGCTTGCGGTTCAGCTGTTTGGTAGTATGGCAGCGCGAAGTGGCTCCCGTTCTAAACTGATCTTTACCCCGTGTTTGCTGTCGTTTGGAGCCAATGAAGTGTCATGCCGAATTAGTGTTTAATCGCGCAGCGAATGCAATGCAAGCCACCCTGGCCGCCCGCTTCATACAGCATGTCCAGAACATTCTTTAGTAGCACCCTCTTTAGCCGTCAACACGGAGTGCGGCAGCTGTGAATGCTCGCTGAGCTCACAACTCCTCTAGTTCATGGCCACTCAAGTGACCAACGACGTCATGAAGGAGGTTATTTTTTGCTTGTTTTTGTAATTTTAATTTGCCTATAACTTCTAATATGAAACGAAATACGAGAAAAGAAAAGTTTCATTAAGTTACTACGTTCAGTGTGCTCAGGTTCAGTGCGAATTAAAAACCGGTAAAAGAGTCCTTGCAGGGTCCTTTAAGAGACATTAACATATTTCTATTGTGCTTTTGCCCCTTGTTGACATAAACAGATGTAATACCTAGACTTATTGCACCAGCTGTCGAGAGCACCCTGGTTCACTATGTAGGAAAGATTGACAAGTTGCTAAAAAAATTATGCATGCCTTTGTTGCCGTGATGCGGAGCAGTCGCTCTTTCCGCCAGGTGTCTCTCGACAAGCTGGTCTCTCTGCAAATCTCGTGGATTCGCAACAACGAAGCGGAGACGCTGCTGTTGTAAGCGGTCCTCTCACGATCTGTCATGCTGTAAGAAAATAGTATGTACAAAGTAGGCGATCAATAGTGTCAATCGTGCATCCCAGCTTACCTGTCGAGAAACACTTCTTCTTTCTGAACAGGTTTTCCAGAATCGAATGACATGACAAAGCTTCGATACCGAAACCCCTCCAAAGGCCAGTCGTACAATTGGAGAACATCTGGTGAAAATGGCAGTCCAATAGGGTCCTCGTCGTCCGGACACTCCATTTCTGCCCGCAACATGTCGTTGTGGGGACAGTTCAAATCCGGGAAGAACTTTCCCACGTGGTGGACGTCAATTGCACGCACGGAAACTGACGCGCCTGCAACAGGGTATTTAGGCAAAATTAAAAGGCTTATCTGTATTTGAATATCTGCGTCGCGAAAAAAGTAAATGCTCGCACAAGTACACCTCAAATTGAATTCATGCAGAGCGGTACCACGACGTACCTTTCCGGGAGTTCGGGGCTAATCTAGAAAACGTAGGGTACGTCTTCTTGGACGAAGGGATGCCCCAGCTTCTCGCGTGACTCGTCTTCGATGTTGCGGCATCCTCCGCCAAGTACACAGCCACGGCGGCGGCATGTTTACATTTGCCAGCGACGCCGGCTTGGCAGTCGCATTTTGCGGCGACGATCGTTCTGTCCTCGGAAAGCTGATTCAAACACAATAAATGTCCGCATGTTAGTTCATTAGTTAATTCAAGTTGCCTTTTTATGGACTTACCTGTACTTCAATGTATTTTGCAGGCGCATTGAGCTTCGTCTGCGGAGTACACCGCGCCGAAACATCGACTTTTCTGTCATAGTATACCTCCTTCACGTCGTAGACATGACCGGAATCGTAAAGGAGTTTCCCCTTCGTTAGGTTCGCACCTCGGAAGAAGCTTTCTGGATTCTTAACTGCCTTAAAACCCGTCGTGATGACGACGGGCACACTCGCAGCAGCGTAGCTGGCAGCCATTGCTTCCCGAGGATTCCTCCCCGGCGACCGCTAGATGGCACTTAACAATAGGCGACGGAAGCGACGCTGCCGGCATGCTCCTTTCCTATAGAGGCACCCTAGATATTACAAGCCTCTTGAACAAGAGCATGCGACGTTTGGCCTTAGTGTGGCTTAAAATCATGGTTGCCAGTTATTTGAAGCTTTATCTGAAATCACAAGACACGCTTTCCGTCCTCCACTTTAAACAGTTTGCGACAAAGCAAAGCAAGATTACATGAGCTTCCTAACACCGAATCTAATGCTGAGGATGTCGCACTTTTGAATCATGACGATCGGCAGTTGCGCCTGCTCTGCAAAAGCACCAAAATGGCGGCGTTAACAACACTGTCGGGGAAGAGAGTGCCGATACTCTAAGCGCAGCTCATTTCTTGGCTCTAGTTCCCGCGAAACTCCTTTTCCCTGACTGAAACTGAAAGTAAATATGAATAATACACCATTATTATAGCTTATTTATTTATAACCAAATACACATAATGAGAGGAGGAAGCGGGTGGGTAGGAAAAACGCGGGTTTTATACGCGACCGTTCTAACCGTCTCAAAAGAGAGAACGCACGAGCTTACGCTGGTTAAAAAAAAAAGGCATCCAAAGAAAAGAGGCGCCACGCTGTGTTCTTTGTTATTATGCGTCTAATTGCAAATTGTTGTGTGTATGTTTATTCAGCCGGAAGTTAGTCTGCCTTAGTGGCGTCTGGTGTCTCAGCTGTAGATGAGCAATTTAGCCAGTGCGGTACAACCGCAAACCTGGGGTCTTTAACGTGCACCACGCAGTAGTGATACACGACCGCACGCCGGTACGATGCTCTTCCAGATCGAAACGGGCAGGGGCGGGTAGGGTTCTGCAGCGCGAGCTTTCGCTCCAAGTGCTCTGAGCTGGTGTGCGCTAGACCATGCACTCGGCCACCGACCTCCCCCCCCCCCCCTTCTGTCGAAATCGGTAAGTGTTCGAAACGTCGACAAAGTCGGTAGTCACGTGTTGTGCTTGACACTGGACACTTACCATTCGCTGAGAAGAAACTTGCTTGTTCGTCTGCCATGAGTCGTCCGATATCAGGTCATCCCCGCAACACCATCTCCCGACAAAACTGGTCTTCATTGTCCGCATGTCCATAGTTACCAATCACGTCAGCTTATAAATTCCCGAACGCTCATAACTTCCCGTCGCTAAACGCCGTTCATTCATAGCGTCTTCATTGCAAATAAACGTCTTCCTTTTTATTCTGATGGTTTTCATCATATTCCTCCTAAGCTGTACTTAAAACATTATGTGTGTCGGTACTTCCGAAAATATTGCAACGGCGTTTGTTTTCTGGGAACTATAATGTAACAACCTTTACAACATCTTCCGGACCCCGTGAAACATAATATTTCGTGACCTTTTTTTAGTCGTCATTAAAATGGTGAGGTAAGTACCGTAAATCGTGAAGCAGTTTACTTGACGTCCGCTTCCACTGGTGTCTTGGAAGATTGAGTCTACTGAGCGTGCATTCCTGCAGAGGAAATTTTCATTGATAGAATATTGACACGTCAATCAACATTTGATTCCTTCTTGGTAAGATTTATTGCGAAAGCTCGTTACAACCGCCGACCGCATCTCCCTATATCAGAGAACAATTTATACCCAGCCTGACATTCTCGCATAAATCCTTTTGATGGGCCACGCTACTTGAGCTAGCTGAGCACAGCTGGCAGCGGCGCGAGCAAGGCCACGAGGGGAACGTCATGGTGCTCGAGCCATCCCACTGTGAACCAATGTTTCGGCCACCCCACGGGTGCGTGTCGCCATCTATTGGTTGAACTAACGCCTTGTTCAAGATGGCTGCCGTGGGACCGCAGCCTTAACGAATTCTTATTTTCGTACTCATTCTGGTTTCGTTTTCACTTACCGGCATGGAAACATTTTGTACTATTCAAAATCATATGGGAGAAAACTGTTTTGGTCTTCCTAAATAAGGGAACCTGAAAACGTCCACAAGACGTCCTCGAAAGGACCAGAATGCCCCGACTAGTTCCAGACGTCCCGACGACGTCTTCTCCGGGACGAAGACGTTTCGACCAGCTTAGAACGTCCTCAGGACCATCTGCGTTATCTGTGCAGCTGTGTGCCCTATGGCGCGTGGACCGCCGAAAACTCCAAGCTTTAGTCTTTATCTTCTGGCTCTGGAGAGCTGAGTCTAGTGAACATGATAATGTGATGAGTGTTAGGTTGGCGGAGAAAGAACGAGATGCTACCGCACGCCAGAGTGCCACGTATAAGAATCTTTAATGTCGTCGTCTACCACCAGCAGGTAGGCGTGCTGCTCAGTAGGTGGCAGGTCATTTCATACCACATCTCCCTTTCTTAAGGAGAGTACCGCCTAGGTTGTTTTAGACAGCGGCCACTCTTGCTGTGGCCATGCGTGGTATCTTGGCATTCGTGTAAGGAGTCAGGCGCCGGGTTTTGATCAGTGTAGGGAACAAGATGGGTCCTGTTCCTCCGAACGGTGCCTTCATCCGTTTCTACGATGAAGGACCTTGGCTCCTGGGCTGGCTGCTGTACAGTACCCCTTCTCTTGAGGTCTACAACCCAGACATCGGTACCATCCACGATGTCCGCCAGGTCGCGAACTCCGTGGCGGCGATTGTATGCCTTTTCTTGTTGTTCCCGACTTTCTTTCTCAAACTTCTTTAGTCGATTAATGTCGGGGCTGACGGGAAGTAACATCTTGCTAGCTGTAGGCACGTT